ATGGGTCCAGATTCTGTCTGTCACGGTCTGTGATGGGTTCAAAGCCTGTCTGTCACGGTCTCTGATGGGTCTCGGGCCTGTCTGTCACGGTCTGTGATGGGTCTCGGGCCTGTCTGACACGGTCTGTGATGGGTATGGAATTTCTCTGTCACGGTCTGTGGGGTGGGGGGGGTGCTAATTTCTGCCCCTAAACATTTCAACACTCCTTTTAGATCGTGTTTCACAAAATATACTATTGTTTTAATTTTATCAATTAACAAGAACAAAAAGCAGTCATCTAAAATTTTTCAAAAAAAAACAAATGAATCAAGAGACTCAGGATTCAGTTGCTGTCGTCGTGCTTCTAAAATTCTTCCAATTTCACTAAAATACAATAATATAATGTTACTGTTACAAATGAATTCTTGCAGCCTCAAAAATAAAAGAAAAAAATAATAAATATTGTAAATTATTCATTCTTGAACTCTCACGATTTTGAACGTATAATTTAATACAATAATATTGTGTAACTGTTACAAATGAATTCTTATACCTTAAGTATAAAAAAATGAATTTGGTACATCATTCATTCTTGAATTCTTACGAACTAGAACGTACCAAAATTATTCACTGAAATCGTGTACCAGTTACAAATGAATTGTTTCAATGTTCAGTTCAGCATGAAAAGCAGAAAATGTGATCGTCGATTACGTAAATTATTCTGATTCTTAGTGTATAATATAATGCATTGATGAATCATTTTCGAATCGATCAGATACGCATATCTTTTTTAACAAATAACGATCGTGGAAAACAAAAGATTTTTACATATTCAGATATCAGTGACTGCCGGGTAGGGTGTCGGGTACCCGACCGGGTTGTAGGGCACTACTGTGAGCAGAAGAAAAACTTCTACTTCAGCCTACTTCTTGATGAAATACAAATCATTCTAAAAGATGTGTTTGAAGAAAAAGACAACATTGTTATATGATGCTATTCACTTATATGAATATTCAGGACAACTGTTTCAAATATTAGCCAGTAAAATATGTGTACCACTAAGGGGACAGTGCCTGCTCATATTTGATTGTATTCTTCACGAACATTCTCTCGGTTTTCTGCTATTAAAAAAGATTTCCGACAATATAAATAAGACAAACATATTTGTTATCTTTTTATTACTAACAATAAATCATAATAACAATTATTTTTACTGCTAAAAACCTACAGTTTAAACTAATCATCTTTTACTACTATCAAGCTACAAGTTAAATAGATCTACAAAAGAATTTTATTTATGTTTAATGTTTTTATCGCGGCTTGAGTTCTAAACATTCATCTGGACGAAAACGTTTTTTAATGCATAGATTAGGTGCGCAACATGGTATCATATTGAATTTACATAAGACACAATCTGGATTGTTCATTTGTTTGTCAAAACTGTTTTCATCGTACATCTTCAAGTATGAGCGAGCATCCATATCAGATACTTCAAAATCGTCATCTTTTTCGATTGGTAAACGTTTTGCTTCAGAAGCCACAAATATAACAGTAATAATCAAAAGGCCAAAAAAAACAAATATCTTCATTTTAATCTGTATGTGATAAAGAATTATATAGAAAGTCAGACAAAAGTATGAACTCACTTTTATGAAAATATATCAGTTCTTTTTTTATGATTGTTAATGCCGATTATGTATATGTATATATATATATATCTGTATCAATTGTCCTTGCATTGCTTTTCACATTTGTACACACGCTTTCTCTCTCTCTCTTTTTTATTGTTCATATAAGAAGTAAAAGAAATAAATCTTGAATATATTGATCAGAATAAATACATGATCAAATATTAAGAATCAACTGATATGTCGTTCTTAATATGTGAATATATCTTGCATTTATTTGAAAAATGAATGTTCAAGTGTTTTATTCAAGTATATTAACTTTCGATGTTTGATAAAATAGAGTTATTTTAAAGAATCATTTGTCAAGCATTATATAATCTTAAAATTATAAACTTTATATGCTTCGCAAGAATTTTTGCTTAGATAAATAAATCAAATACATGAACATTGAAAAGCTATTAGAAGACACATTTTTATAAGATTGATATAATCGATTTTATTTTAAACAATTAAACTTGTAAAAAGTAATCTTTTGATTTTTGATTTGCTACTTTCCATGATCAAAATTAACATAGATTACACATACTTCCAAAGAAAGAAAAGACAACAAAAATTTTAACGAAGAATTTCTTCTTTTATTATGCTTCGTAACAGGCAAAGGTAAAGGTATGTTTATAATGGAGATTAACAATTGTTCAATAAGATAACACAAGCGCCTTTTTCTTTTTCAAGAGAAAATTTTGAACAAACAAGAATTTCTTATTTTTCTGTTATATATGACTTCAGCACGAATCAATTATAACAAAGACGAGCGAGTATATTTATTAATATTATAAATTAAAATTTTCATTAAAAACAACAGGTTATTATCGAATTTGATGATACAACTCGTGCATGGAATGATTGGAAACATGGAAATATTCAAAAACCATTTGTTCACGAACGATTTACTATCTCATTAGTAGAATGTACAAAAATATATATGACACACAATGATTCATTTGAAAATACTGATCGATCAATATCATCAGGAACTATTGATATACCATCTCTTGTTACAACACTACCCGAAATAAATATAAATTGTCACATATGTCATAAATATCAAGGTCAACTTTATCCATGTCGTATATGTGGCAAAGTTTATCATCAACAATGTATCAAAGATATTGGAGATGCAAAATCATATCATTTAATTAAAAATGCTACTAATATAATTGGTAACACTGTCTGTTCAATAATATAATACAAGTTTTTCTAAGACTCTTCATTGCAGCCAATTAACATAGGATCATAAAAAAACTGGTATGACAAGGATTGATTTACCACGGTGAGTTCATTGGTGATATTTGTTTTTGGTTGCAAAACTATTTGAAATCAGTATATCGAAATTTCGGAAATATTTACTGTTTATACTATATATACATCAGCAAAATTCGGAATTTGAAAAGGTTTGATGTTGTTTTCAAATCACTTTGCAACCAAAAAACAAACATCACTACTAGACTCAGTGTGGTAAATAACCTCTCTTCATACCAATTTTTGAATATTTTCTCGTTGTCAAAGTCTCTATCGAGATCCCATCCAGAAGTGTCTCAAGCGAGGAGGGTCGAGTCGCTCCCCTCCCCCCTCTCTAATCGTATTGACTTCAAGACATGCCTGATCCCATGTGATTTTAAATCGCTAAATCAAACAAATTCGACATGCTTCTATGCTCCCTCCTTTCTCAATGTCCTCTTTTGAATGATAAAACTGCAGATTTCTATGTTCTCATTCTAGTGAAGGTTCCTCGAAAAATGGACGTGATCATTATATCATTGGACTTATTTCTAATGTATATTCATTTTAGGATGGAGTTGTCCAATATGTGAAGATCTTCGCGTACTTTTATCAGGCGAAGAATTAGCTGAAACTCATGTAATGAGAAACTTTTTTTTTCATATTTTTTTCACTACTAATTTTGATTACATTAGGAATGGATAAAATCATTAGGTAGTCAAATTACTTTTAATCTTGATAATTATATAAATACTCGTATTAAATCAAAATCACCTGTTAGTTTTTATTTTGACAATACACATGATCATATAAAAATGATTTTACAGTAAATTTTTATTCTTGAAGAATTTTTTTTGAACTATTTAACTCTGTAGAATCTTTCTACATACAATTATTGATATAACATCTAATCGATTATCTCAAGCAGATTTACTTATTCTTGATGTTAGTATGAAAATTTTTCATACATCACCAAAATTCCTTGTTAATTCATTGACATCATTTGAACTTTATCGACTTAGTCAACTTTTTATTTCATTATCATCCATAGATAATCAATGTGTTACATATAATAAATTTCAACAAGTTTTTAATACTTATCTTCTAGCAATCATGCCTGAATTAAACTCTAATGAAAAACACTTACGTAAGTGTTCTGAATAAAAAAATTCGAGAAACTATTAACTAGACTTTTTGTTTAAGATTTAGAAGCATTGGCTTATAGTTTTTTGGGTAATGTGATCAACTTTGACCGAACATGGACACAATTTGTTCTTAATGCTACCATTCCGACATTATTAGGACGATATACTCATCACACACCATTTGATTTTACTAATCGAACTGTTTCTATCAAACAATCAACTAGTCCTACAACAGCTAATCTTACAGAATACAAAGATAATCAATCATTAGCAACGTTGATTAATAATATTTTACAAAAGCTCAAACAAACTGTTGGAAATGATACCGAATCAGTCGCAGATCAGCACGAGAGAAAGTTTACGAGAATGAAAAAACAAGCAAATCACAAAATTAAACACCGATAAGGATTGTTGAAAAATATTTTCGATATTCAAATAGACGTTCTTAGCAATTGAGTTCAGAAAACAAGGATTTTTTACTAAAGAAAAAGTGATTTTAATTATTAAAAAACCAGGCTTTTATGTGCTAAAATTCTCTAAATTTCTGAATAAAAGCTTTTCAAAAACTCATGATCTTTTATTATTTTTGGGGATTTACCATTATGCTAAACTACGAGGTCAAAAATGTCAAAAGCTTTTTCTAGATACCAAGCAGTTAGAATATTATTAATAATAACGATACTTTCAGAGAGAATAACGAGCTATCGGAAAGTTTTTATACAAGAAGTTTGTTCATGTTTGACCCGCTAGAAAGTACTCCCGACGAGTCAAAAAGCGATGCTTTTTTGTTCTTTTCGGATATGAGCTTAGAAATTTTGTCTCAATTTTTATTCGAGAATAATGAATAGTTTTTCGAAAAGTTCAAAAAATTAGTTTGAACGGAATATTTTTGTGTTTTCACTATTGCAATTCGAAACTAAAAATTTGGAATCTTTACGTCTATATCAGCTTGTAGATCAGAAACTACCTTACAAAATGCACTATGTTGAAGCTTTCTCTTTGTTGTCTGACAAGGCACCTGAATTTTCGTTTTTCCTAAATACTCACTTTTGAAAAACCGACAATCGTTTTACATTAAAAAAAGCTTTTTATAAAATGCTTGTAGCCTCATTTGTAGAAAAGCTACAACTTAATTCACTATCACATTTTGTAGAAAAATGTTCGATCTGCGAAAATGACCGACTACAATCATTTTCAGCATGCTCGAAAAAGAACTTATATGGTAAACAAAAACCTATTGGATCATTGTTAAAAATAACTTTTCAGATCTTTCAAAAAGTATTTTATTACTATTGGATAAAAATAGACGAAACATTTTTTAATTCATATTTAAATTTCACTCATAGAAAATACTTTTTAGCAAGTGAAAAGTGAACAACAAATCTTGTCTCAAAGCTTTTCGATTACCGGTTATCTAGAATTGTTTAAAAACTTATGTAATACTCGTTCTATAATTTTCCACTTGCCATAATTCAGTACATGCAACAAAAAGAATAGATTAAATATGGAATATTAGATAATTTTTATCTTGTTTATTTTCATGTATTCTCTCACTCTTTTGAACAATAGATCCTATCAGTAATAATCAATCATACTAACATGACTGGATTAATATATAGATAAACTCTATAAATATCATTTGTCTCTTATGCACTTGTAATACAACATCTGCTTTTTCTCTTCTCTAGAACTTCATATATTCACGTGTATTTACACGTGCTGACCTCATTATTTTAATAAAAACTCTACTAATTTCAATCGTTTTCTTTATGTAAATAAATCTAAAACTACAAACAAACAACCATTAATTTCTTTGACAATTTAAATCTCATATAAACACTCATAATTAACAACAACTAATGAGAATCCTTCACTCAGTTTCCTCGTTATCATATTGAAATAAGTCTGATGAATTCTTTTGATTAATCAACATAACTATTAAAAAGAAACCTCTCATTATTCACAAATAATGAAGAACAATTATCATCTTTCAGTTCATTCGCTAGACAGGATGATAAACACATTGAGCTTTTCGAAAGTTCTCTAACATGACATCGCTCATCGTCAAATCTATCCATGCAGATTTTCTTTTACTGAAAGTTTTAAATGAACCTTCAATAAGTATTGAAAATGTCATTAACTATTCAATTGTACCATACTAAAACATATTTTTATTACAAACGAAATAGAAGTATATATAAGTTAAAATTATGACAATGACTAATTTCATATACAGTCGAATATTTAATTTAGTTTAGTTTTGATCATCTCTACATTGTTCATTTGATCGTTTATGTTGATTTGTATGACATGTTCGTAATAGTTTAACTGAACTTTTTTTCTCATATGATGGCATAATTCCTTCTTTTTTAAATTTAACACGACGATTTTGAAACCAAATCTGAAAATAATTGAAAAATAAAACATTAAAAATTAAAAACAAAAAAAAAAGAAAAAGAAAATTTACTTTAACTTGTTTTTCAGTTAAACCAAGACATGCAGCTATTTCAATTCGACGTAATCGTGATAAATACATGCTTGATGCAAATTCTCTTTCTAATTCAAGTAATTGTATACTTGTAAATGCTGTACGCATACGTTTTAATTCAAATGGTAATTGTTGAAATGTTGTTGATGATGATGTTTGTGATGGTGATGAAATAATTGTTGTCTTTGTTTCTTTATGTTCATCATTATGTGTTTTAAAAAATTGTGAATGAAGAAAAAATAAATGTGATGAAGGAGATGATGATACCAATGGAATTGATGATGATGATGATGATGGTGTGGATTTACTTGCTATCAAATATTCGATAGAAAACGACTTGTTATTTCCTATCATGATGATGATGATGATCGTTGTCAAAATGAAAATGAATATGATAATAGAAATGAGATGAATAACAGCTATTCTATATGTGTGACAAATTAATTCGATAATCAACACATTGACATAGAACATAATTGACTCGTGAATTGTTAATGAATGTGAAACAGATAGCATTATATACACCTTGATTTTCTCTTATTATTTCTTTTCTGTTTCTCTCTTCCCTTGATAATTCTCACTAGTCACATTATATCGTTAATCTCTTCAATATTTTTTTTTTTTCGTTACATGAAAACCAAACTAAAAAAAAAGAAGAGAACAAGTGTGACAGAAGATAAAAGTCATTTAATGTCGTCCGACAATAAATTAGAAACAGACACGCCTTTAGAATGAATTTTATTGCTCTAGACTAGAAAATAAAAAAAGAAAATGAGTAGTGGTATTTCACTTTCGATAAATCTATCAGTTAACTTATTCCCATTGAGAATTATTTGACACAAAACAGTTACTTGTCATTTTAGTAATTGAATACAATAGACGAATTAACACTCAATATGAAAGTATCATGTTGTATGACAAATGATTTCTCACATTTTTTTTTATCTTCTTATTCGTAGAAGATAGAATGATCAAAAATTATATATGCAAACAGATGTTGATCATTATCCTTAACTTAATGTTCAATTGAAAAAAAAAAAAAAAAAAAACAGTTTTTTTTATCCTATTTTATCCTAATCATTTATTTATTAGAAACATGAATTACTTTATATGTTTATCACATATTTCTATTTAGATTAAGTATTATTATTTCCTTTTAGATAATCTACTTAATTGACCAGCAAAATATCATTCATACAAATTGTCATGTCTCTGAAATTGTCATCAAATGAATAAAAAATGTATTAGATATGAACATTTATTGTTATATAGTCAAAAAAAAAAAGAGAGACAATTGATTCGCTTTTCTTTTAATCTGTATTTATTGTGTCCAATGATTCTCATTTGGTTTACATTTATCCGTTGATTATTTCAAGGAAGAGAAATGAACAAAAATGAGTAATCATTGCGACAATCAATGAATTGTTAGAACAAAAAACAAAGAGAAATAGTTGTTTAACTTTCTGATGTATGTTGAAAATATCTCAGTTCAGCAGCTTTCACGAAAGCTGAAATATCAATACAATCTTCATCATAACGTTGCCATAATTTTATTAAACATTCATCTATTATGGCTTTATTTTTCCGCCGTTTTGGAGACGAAACCCTTCCATACTCCATGTCGTATTTTTGCAATCGTTGCTAATGGTTGTTCTTTTTTGGAGTAAATCAATCGCAATGTAAATGTTTAGATGTGGAAAATTTACATGTTTCTTCGTTCGAGAATATCGATCTTTCAAATAATGAATAGTGCGTAGTTTTATATTAAATTTGCAGAATGTATTAGAATTTTGTTTTGAAAATATAATAGATTTTTTCAATGACTACTCAGTTTTGTTCATTTATCTTCTTTGAAATAATCCATTTGGACAATAAACTCTTACACAAGAAAAACGCGAATTGAAATAAATTTTTGTCTAATTAACAGACAGACAATCTTGCATAGATTCTCATTTAACTTGTCTTTGATGGCAATAAATTTCTTTTTATATCTTGTAATAATTTTATTTTGTGTCTTGAATAGTTCACATTGATTGAAAGAAAGAAATAAGAATTGAGAAGGAAAATAAAGCCGTATCGAAAAAAAAAAGAACAAAGATTGGTTCGTTTCCAGCAAAAAGAAAATCATACATCTTCAACATATATGGGACATTCCAACAGTTTTTCCCTGACTTTTCTAAAAGACATAATGTGAATACAAGTATTTTGTCCGTTATATATTTAAATTACTTTCAGATGCATTTCGAATCCTTACGACAACACTGTCAGAGAATGATTTTATGCCACTAGCAACTTGGGCTAACTAAAGAGAAAAATCCTGCGCGTTTAATATGAGTATTCAGGGAATCAATACATTTAAGTCCTACATCAGTTAATTGGTTTCATCAATTTCAACAATGAGGTTGTGACTCAAACAAATCGTTTTCAGCTGCGGTAACCGAGCGACATTTATTTTTGTGTATGTAACGATGGACTACTTTTTGTACTCGATGAGTGCATTTTCAGCTCATTGATGGCTGAAAACAAACTCCATATTCAATTAGGTCGTTATTTTCTGAACGGATTGGAAGAGACGAATGCTCATTTTCTATTCTGCACTATTACTAATCATAGATGATCATTGTATCATAGTGATAAAAATAGAATCGAGCAGTTGAATATTAGAACGTTAAGAACTCATTCACAAGCTGATAGAAATGTATCGGAAAACTAGTGTAACAGTGGTCTGAAAGTAATTTAAAAATATAGCGAAGGGCGAGACTTGTGAGTCCGAAATTTTGCGCATAATCCTAAATATGTCTAAGCATTGTGACAAAATAGTTGCACTCAAATGATGTCTTTTAGAAGACCCAAGGGAAAAAACTTTTGGAGTGCTACATGTAATAATAATAATAAATGAAAATAATTTACATATATATTAGATAGATAAGATAAATAGTATTGGTAAAATGAATATTCAGCATTTCTTTATTCAAGTGGCGTTAACATATCATACGTAAATATTAGATAGGTAATACTTGTATATTATAAATCCGAGATTTGTGAAGTAGCTGAAAACCTGTTTCGTCACCAGCTCGTTTCATCAAAAACGTAACATAAAATCGAATGTTCATTTATGCAGTTTTTGTCAAACCACAAATACAATAATATACAATGACATCAAAATGAATAACTATCATTTATATTTTTGTTTTATTGAACGTATAAACAGAGCATTGTGTACTTGTTGTGAGTACGTCTAAAGTCGACCATAAAACCAACAGGACTACATTGGCGTGCGACATTTGCTGTATTTACTAAAATTGAATGAAGTAATCAGGCAAGTTTAGATAAGGCAGGATAAATGAATCGTAAGGAGACGGGACCAATCATCATCGTCTCGAACTTGCCTTGTTATCGAAAATCATTCCTTGTACCGCGGCGAGGCGATGTAACTCGATGGTTTTCGAATCTCTGATACCAATAGATTTTTCAGGATAGTATTTGTCACGTAATAGTTTTTTTTTCGTGCTTGATAAATACTTCCAAAAATTTGCAATTCTTCCAATGGATGTTTGATCCTTGTTTTAGGTGTTTTAGGAAAAGGTAGTTTTGTAATGAGAAAATCTATTTTATATCTAAACCATAAACATGTTTAACAGATCTTCTCTGTTTATTTGTATAGAGGAACCAGATTGAAAATAAACAAAGGAAATGCAGCATAGCAAAAGGCGAAAAATTTTTTTTTCTTCTTATCCTAATATTAGCTTTCGGGATGATACAGAACACTATCTTCGATTAACTGTTTGAATCTTTTTATTCTATCATTTATAAAAACATTCCATTCAGGTTTAGTTGAAATTTTTGCCTCTAAATATTTAAAGCTTTTAATGTATTTGATAGGTTGACATCTACACTCGATTTTAAGTTTAGTATGTGAAACGATGCTATGTACTTATAGTAGTTTTATTTTCTTGACATTGACTGAAAGAAAATTATCATCCGAAAAACTTTTGTAATCATTCCAGGATTAATTTAATTCTTGTTTCTAGTTATATATGAAATAATACTATATAAATGAAGCTATTGATAAAAGTAATCAAAGAATTAATAATTCAATAAAAGAATTGCATGCACAATATCATTTATATTATGCACTGTAATTTCAATTGATTGACAAAACTGAACGATGAAAGTACAAATAAGAAAATATCTATGAAAGAATGCAAATTAATTTTTCTAATCTAATCTAATATTTCTTTTTGTCTTTATCACACGAGATGTATGTAGAAAAACAAATTAATAGTTTTCACTATGAATTACATTTCTAGTCTACCAAAAACAAATTAGGTTTTTGAAGAATTATGATGGTTCTGTTCTTTGATCTTCTCTGATTAGAATAATACTTATGAATGCTTCCACAAATCGACGACTCTTATTCCTGTAATATTCTTTGGTATTAAAGATGAATTAAAAACGATTCTAAAATCGATGTTTATATGATTGTAGTGAGGAAGATTCTGAGTAGGGATGATGATCGATGATTCAGGAGGTCGATCGAAATATTTTTCCAAGAATTGATCGGATCTGGCGGGGATGAGATTTTTTTTGCAGAATTGGTGAATCAAAAACAAAATCAATAAAATTCTAAAACTCCATTGAAAAAAAAAATTCGCAAAATGGAGGAGAGAACAACCATATTTATACAAAAACTGATATTATTAAGTTTGTATCTGATGATGTGTTCGACAAATGATATTTGTTGTAATTGTACAAATATTTTCTATGACAAGTGAAAATCAATCAGTGATACATATCCTATATATTATGTACAGACTCAGAATTCAAACATAGCTTTTGTTCTCATATGTTTTTATCAAAAATCTTTAACGTATTCTAATAAAAATTTATATTTCCTATAACATTGTTTGCTGAGGACAAAATACATGATTTAATTAACTCACTAGTTCACATGTTTATTAAACTAAATGAAGAAAGTAATTAAAAATAAATAAAGAAAAAAAGATTGAAGTACTTAATAATTTGTAAAAACAAAATTACAAATCCAATAATGTTTTTCATCACGCACTATGTAAATCATGCATTTCCTATTGTAATTAAATAATCGGAAATCTAAAAATTTATTTGTAGTATAATGAAATAGTTGAGTTTTTCTTCTCAGGAATAATAAATAATTATTGATATGTAAATATTTTTTCTTCTTATGAAATCATTGTACAAGAAATAATAAATATTAGCTAAGAAAATACTTGTAAAATATGACGATAGAGAAAAAGAAAGAAAAGACGAAGACGACAAGTGTTCCGAAACAAAATACAAGATCATGATGTGATGATTTTAGATAGAAGAGTCGCTAACATTGATGGAGTTACGTTTTATTTGACTTTCTCATATCACTAATCATGTTGCTTACATATAAAGCACACGCTTATATACGCAAGTAGAAAAGATGATGAAAGGAAAGGAGATGAAGCTAAGGAGAGAGAGCAGATATGAGAGAACAATAGAGTAAGGACAACAACGTAAGAATATAAAGGTGAGAACAATATATATAACATACGAATCAATGATAGGAAAAGCCTGAAGATTATGTATGAAATTGAATCAACCGGAAGCGTTAGACATGGCAGTGCGGTTAACCCGGGCGATCATTCTCGCGTCTTTTTTTACAAGCTTCATTCCTTCTTTCTCCGACGAACAGTAAGAAAAGAAAAAATAAATGAACTCTATTTCTTACATTCTATATAGAAGAAGAAAAAAAAAGAATAGAAACTCATGCTTTACTTAATGATTGAGCTCATTTCCTTTTGGAGTGCTTTGTGACAATCGAAAATAAATTTTTAGTATTTTTTTTTTCTTGATAAACTTTATTTTCATTCTTGATCAATGTACCAACAAAACAACTGTAGTAAAGTTTATATCATGTACAGAGAAAAAGCAAAAACCATCAAACCGAGGTGTAGGCAAAAAAAGCTAACATATGTAAGCGAATATATGAATAGAACACTATCAACGAGACTAGAATAAAGAACAATAGGTTTTTAATTGTGAGAAAAAATATCTATAAGCATTTCATTAAGCATTGAGAGCCGAGAGAACGACGGCCCTCCTGGAGTTTAAAATAATCCTTCTGAAAGAGAAAATTTAGATAGCACATTGATATCTATATAAATGTTGATGTTTAGATTGGCAGACTAGGTTAATTAGGAATAGTTCGTGTTTTTCTTCGTACATGACATTATATACCGATGAAAACAATAGTAAATGGTTTCGTGAAAAAGACTCTGGATTTTGGCCAGGTCAAGAATTTTCTATCGAAATCGAAGAAATTTTATATCAAAAACAATCAAAATATCAAGATATACTTGTTTTTAAAAGGTAGATTAGTGATTATGATGGATTATTTTTTTTTATAACCTGACGATTTCTTTTCCAGTAAAACTTATGGCAATGTACTTGTATTAGATAATTGTATTCAATGTACTGAAAGAGATGAATTTGCTTATCAAGAAATGGCTGCCTTTCTTCCTTTATTTGCACATCCTGATCCGAAACGGGTAAATTGAAGTAAAAAAATAGTTTTTTTTTTTTTCAATTAATTTTCTTTTGAAAGATATTGATTATTGGTGGAGGTGATGGAGGTGTTATTCGTGAAGTAGTAAAACATCCACAAGTTGAAGAAGTTATTCTTTGTGAAATAGATGAAGTAAGATTTTTGAGAGAAAAAAAGTTTTTATTTTCTTGTGTTCATTTTTCTTATAGGATGTTATTGATGTAAGCAAAAAATATCTTCCTGATATGGCCAAAGAATTTACCAATTCAAAAGTAACAATTGTTATTAGTGATGGATGTGAATATCTTAAACAACATACAAATGAATTCGATATTATTATTACAGATTCTTCTGATCCAAATGGTAAAATTTTATTATTATAAAACAAAAAAATTATTTTATTTTATTGAGTTTGTAGGTCCAGCTGAATCTTTATTTGAACAACCATTTTATTCATTAATGAAAACAGCACTTAAACGACCCTATGGTATAATATGTTGTCAAGGTGAATGTATTTGGTTAGATTTACCTTTAATTAAAAAATTAATGACAATCAGTCGTCATCTTTTTCCATCTGTTGCTTATGCTAATGTATCTACACCAACATATCCATGTGGAGCACTTGGTTTTATTGTTTGTAGTCTTGATGAAGTAAATCAAATTTTGCTTTTTTTTTTCTTTTTCAAAAATTAAATTTTATTTAATACTTTTTTAAATTTCTATCAGAATGCTAAATTAACCGAACCAATTAATAAGAAATTAGCTGATGAACTCAATACAAAATATTATACATCTGATATTCATCGTGCTTCGTTTGTTTTACCTGCGTTTGCTCGTCAAGTATGTAAAGAGAAGAAAAAAAAAACATGTAAATTAAATTAATCATTAATTTTATTTTCTAGGAACTTGAAGACAACAAATAAATAAAATTGTTTGTTTTTTTAAGTATCTGTACATTTTCTATGATTTCTTATTATAGAAATAATACTTATTCTTGTGATTTCTTTTTGCGTATCTATTTGAATAAACTTAATCTCACTATTATATAAACGCTTTTAAGACATGAATGATAATAAAAAATTTGTAACGTCTCATTAAACATAGTAGAAAAGCTTCTTACTAAAATAGAATTTCATTAATTACGTTTGAGAGTAGTAGATTAATAAAATAATTGAAAAAATATGAAATTTTAATTCTTTATAATTTTAATAATGTTCGTTAAAATTATTCAAGACCCACAAGAAAAACTATCTTTATTATGAACCATTTTACAATTATTGTAGTATTCGTTACAAGCTCTTCTGATGCTTAACAATAAAGCCTTGCGTATATTAGATACATTCATCTTGTACAAAAAAATAACAACACTGTCCTGATCTACAAGAACATTCCCCCCCCCCCCCCCCCAGAATAAAAAGGCATGGCCTTCTATTATGTCCAGGAACGCAAACGTCCAGGGGGGGCCTTCTATTCCGGTTGGCTTTCTTTTTTAGGGTG